AATGCTGAGAACAAACCACATCTTCTCTAGCTGTGTACGAAAGTCTCATGCACTTGACCCCCATTGGAAATCAGACAGTACTTCCCCCAATATTTCACCTACAAAGCCAAGAAATGTGGAATGGGTTGCAGCTTCTTCCCAAGTATTCAGGATCTGAGGGACAGTGGGGGCACTTTCTAGTTGATGCTTTCCAATTTGTGGATGTTCTTTAAAATGGAAATTCTATTAAAATGTTTAAAGATGTTCATACACTAAAAACTCCAGGTGCCTCTATAAGGCCCATTGTTTTGTCTGCCTAAAGACACAGACCCTGAGATTTTACATTTCCTCTCCAATAGCCAGAACATGGAAGGTATTAACCATGTTCCCTTCTCCTTCTTATGAAAGAAGTTTAGTTTACCTTGTTAGAGTAACAATGGGACATTTTCTTCAACCTCTTTCTTTTGATCCCCAAATCAAAAACCCTTAAAGGGAAAAAGACCCGTTCAACTTTTAATTTCTATTATTTATTAGAGTGTTTGGCACGATAATGAATCAATGAATGAATGGGTGCATGAATAAATGAGTGAAATACTCCCTCAGTGAAGGCGTCTGTAATTTTTCTCTTATATAAGTCATTGTCCCTTTCTTATTCCTCCAGATGGATTATTTCCATCACATGAAGACTTGAACTATGTCAACATTAAGTAACCCTGCAGCCATGCCTACATACCAACCACACTTAATGCCACCATCCTTGGTCTTCCATGTACCCAATGAAGTTGTGCCTGGGTGAGGGTGGGCACCTTGTGACATTTTTAAATAAAGATTTTTTGTCTCTCCTGTGCATGTGAAAGTTGCCAAACATCAGATGTGGTAGCGCACACCTATAATCCCAGCACGTGAGAGGCTGAGGCAGAGGCATCACCAAGCGTTTGAGGCCGGTCTGGGCTATATAAGCGAGTTCAAGGCCAGCTTGCACTACGTAGTGAGACCCTGTCTCAAAAAAACAAAAAGGTTTCTGTTGAGAGCTGAGTTATTCATTCACATGATATTCTATTAAATTAAAATGTTTAAAGATTCATTACACTGTTTGCTAACCTTTATTTAGAAATAGCTCTGTCACAAAAAGTTGAAGAGAGAAGTCCTGCAAACCCCTCATTAAATTTCCTCCAATTCTCTAAACCAGCCTGCAGTTTGGCAGAGTAACTTTTCCTCAGGTGTGTTTATGTAACAGAGACTCACAATGAGGTGACCACCCCGGTCTTCCCAGAACTAAAGGTGTTCCCAGAACACGAAGCTTTCATTTTTAAAACTGGGACAGCCCCAGGTCAAAAGGGAAGAGGTGTCACTGTGGAAATATCCATGTAAAATTGCTAAGCAAGCTATCGTTGAGTATCTCTATGTTCTTTCCCTATCTCTTCCACAATTGCCTTCCAACATCTTTTTTTTTTTAAAAAAAAAGAGGAAAAAAAATAAAAATGATACAGAATTTCAAAACAAGATGATAGGAAATTAACAATGGTTATTATATTGCATATTGTTATTTTCAAAGTAGTTGCTCTTGAAAACAACTCAAATGCCCATCTACCGAGGAATGGATATAAAAGATGTATTTTTATACAATGGAGTATTACCCAACACCCTTTGTATTGCTAACTATTTAATTTCACCTGTGTGCCCCTCACCCCCCACTACCAGGATCTGTCTCTACCCCTATTTTAGAAACATTCCTTCTCATTTTCCTAGTCCTTCTTCGCTATCAAAGTTTGCACGCATCCCATTCAGAGCTTTGGTCAGCAGCAGGAGGCAAACATTTTAATAATCTCTCTCCTGCTGCAAGTTGGCTAAATGACTTCGTGCAAGTTATCTTCCAGCTCTGGATTCCTTCTCAGAAATTAAGGGAATGGGTCTAAAACAGACTGGATACTAATGACACTTGGTGACCCATAGTTCTTTGCTCTGCAGGGCTGGCCTGGGCACTGTGCAATGTCTGCAAGCATCTCGGCCTCTACCTACTAGCTTCTAGGAGCAGCCCTAAGCTGTGACCAGCAAACTTCAGACATTCCCAAGCATCACAATGGGATAAAATCACCCCTGGATAAGGACTGGTCTAAAATATGTTTGAAATCACCTCTAGTTCCAAAAGTATTTGATTAAATTTGTCCCCAGTAAGTTAGGAGTGATTAATAGTTTCCCCTCAGCCTCCCAAGAATATTTGCATTTTCAAAGTATTAGCTGTTTGGAAAAAAAGGTGTATCTTTATGTAATAGAGTTACAGAGTTTTTTTCCTCCTCATTCTCTTCTTGTTCCCCTACTTTTCTTCATTTGGGGGTTAATATCTACATGACGGTATATTGCTGGAGTTACTCTGTTATAAACTAACTGGATGTGGCTAAGTTCAAGTGAAATCAATGGAATTTCAAGTGAGCCTAGGAGTTTGGGTTTAAACCAGAGAAATGTAGTAAAAGAGGGCCTGGGAGCTATGTAGACCTCTTCATTTAGTTGTATTTGCTTTTTTTTTTTGGTACTGGGAATCGAACTCAGGACCTTGCGCTTGTCAGGCAGATGCTTGTGCCACTGAGCTATATCCCCAGCCCTGTATTTGCCTTTAAATTTTTGATATATTTGCTCAAAGTCAGATTGTTTTGGCAAACAAACGAAAGTTCTGGAAACACTTTTCACACCACAGCAGCCTCAGGTTCAAGGATCAGTCCAAGCTCGTCCTCTTGCCTCCTGGAAGAACAGCTCCCCAGAAAAGGGCAGGCTCTGACAATGGCTGGTCTGGAGTATGGACTTCCTGGAAAACATCTACAAACCCTTCCAAAAGCTTGGTCTTATCTCCTTTTCACACCCATGTGCTAAATACTTGCTTGAAGCAATGTGAGACTGGAAAGGTTGACTGTTTCTGACCTATAGGAATCATGATTTCACACGGTCTCTCCAGTCACGGTCAAGTAAGCTTCGAGTTGGCTAAGAGCCCACCCGTTGGCAGCAGTGGTGCTACTAAGTGCCTGACATAGGTAGTTGGGAGGAAGGGGGTGTTGTGGTTTGGGCAAGTGTCCTCCAAAGGCCCTGTGTGCTACAGGCTTGGTCCCCAGCCCTTGGCACCATTGGGAGGTGGTGGAGGTTTTAGGAGATTGGGCCTGGTGTAAGCAAGTGAGGTCACTGGGAGTGACCTCAAAGGAAAGGACAGGGATCTAGGGTCTCTGGTCTGTTCCTTTCTGTCTCCCTGCAACTCCTTTCTCCTTTTTTAAAATTATTTTTGTGACAGGATCTCAAGATGTAGTTCGGACTAGTCTTAAACGCACTGTGTAGCCCAGGCTGGCCTTGAACTCATGGCAGTCCTCCTGCCTCAATCTGTCTTTCTCTTTTCCTTCACTTCCCAGCAACCACAGGGTGAGCAGTTTCCTCTGTCATGCATTCCACCATGAGGCTGTCTCACCACAGCCCTAAAGCAAGGAGGCCACCAACCATGGACTGAAACCTCTGAACCAGGAGCCAAAATAAACCTTTCTTCTACGTAGGTTGATTACCTCAGGTATTGCATCACAGCAATGGAGAGCTGACAACACAAAGGTGGAGCCAAGGATTTGGGGTAGAAGAGGTAGAAACCTGGGCCTGCCTAAGCTGTTCACTACTGTGTTATGGGGGAACATTGGGGATGATGCCAACCCCATTGGCTAATGATCCATGATGTCAACAAGAGGAAGAGGTCCAGAGTTGTGGCTCTGCCCCCTTTGGTATATAAGCTCATTGAAGACAGTGTCCATGTGCTGTTGGACAGGTCTATACATCTGTGTGCCTCTTGCACTGCAGGATACACAGCAAGGCCCTCAGATACACTGCTGAGCTGTTACGTGAATGAGAAAATCCTGATCATTCTGACCTTCATTCAGTCCAGTCATGGTTCCTTCATCCCAAGCATATTTACTACCCTACTTCTTACAAAGAAAAATACTAGATAACGTGGTTGGTTCGATTATTTTGTCCCAACTCTCTTGGTATTTCTAGTTTATGAAAATTAACCCTGAAGAAGTGATTTCAGCATCAGAGTGTATGACATGGTGTATGACACGGTTCCATGTGTCACTGACAAGAGTGAACGGGGACACTCTGGAGGGTGTGCTCATGACCCCAGGCTCTGACAAATGACACAACACAGGTAAAGTGAAGAGGCGAAGAGAAAATTCTGCCTGGAAGAAAAGAAACATGCCCACTTTGTTAATGATTAAAATCTTCTCAGATTTTGCAATGCTTTTGTTGGCCCCTCAAAAACCATGAATTTGGGCCTATTGTCAAAAATACACATAGCAGAAAGTATTTCAAAAATATCCCAAACTGCCAAAGTCAAACAGAAGCAAGGAGGGAGGCTGATTCTATTTTCTTTTTTTAAGTTTTGGGCACATTTCCCCTTTCATAGCCCCTGTGGTTTCTGAGCAGAACAGCTTGAATGAGGCCTTCCCATCTGCAGGCAGACAATTCTAGTCACCTTAGTGACTGGAGCTACTGGATAGTGAGTCCTCGCTGGACCCTCACAGGGTGGAAGGACTCTGCTTGCTCTCTGAGCCTTTTGGGGGACCCAGTCTGATTCCTGGGGCTCACCTTCATGATCTAGTTTCCTCCCACAGGCAACTAAAACCACCCCTCATACCACTGGGGTTGGGATGCAACATATGAATTTAGGATCAAGGGGTAGGGGAAGATACAAACATTCAGACCACAGCAAAAAGGACAATGTTCTTCCATTTTCTATAAAAATTCCACAACATTCTCAAAGTCTAAGTACCTCACCTTTCAGTTATTTTCCTGTCTTATCCTGACATTAACATGTGAATGACTTCCTCCAGCTTGACTTTAACTAGCTTCAAAGGGCTGTCCCAATCTGGGCAGGACCCTTCTAAGAAGGCACAGCCTTACACCAGCCTATCAGCCTGCGCCCAGAATGTGCTGACTCTAGAGATTCCATGAAGGGAAAGCTGACAGTTTGAGCTCAGTTCATCTTTTTTTCTTAAGGGAGTCCAGCCTACTATATCTTGCTTCTCCAAATTCCTTCTTAGGCAGTCAAGATCCCCGGAGACAGAAGACTATAGAGGAGGGAAGGAACGTAGTGCAGAGTGAGCCTACAGGGATTCGAGCGCAGCCCCACCCTGCTGGTCCCTGTGACCTCAGGCCAGTCCCGCTCCTCCTGATCTCATCGGCAAATGGCGGCGGGAAACCAGATAACCCTGAAGTGGCTTCAGAGTCTAATCCTCTGTACTTCTGACGGCCAGTTATGAAAAAAGTCTGCTCTTCTCCTCAGCTCCCCCTCCTTTCTTTCTTCCCTTCCTTCCAATCTTCATCTCCTTCTCCCCCTCCCTGCTCTCTCTTTTTCCACAGGGTTTGCTAAAGCCTGGCGATCCTTCCCAGCAGCCAGCGAGGACTCATTACCAGAAGCACCACAGCTAAACAGAGGGAAATGTTTAGGTAAGCATCATAATGGGCATGGAAAGAAAGAGACCACAATTCCAAGCAGAAGTCATCATCGATGAGAATGCACATGTTTGGGGCTAGGTTTATGAGAAATGAACGGGATGATGCCTGTGCCGGCGGATCACTGGGCTCAAGTTTTCTTAGTGCCAGGAGTGATTTATTTTCTGGTAAACAGTTTTGCTCAAGTAGGGCATCCAATTACTACAAACCTTGTTTAGTATAAAAACTAACTGCATAGAAAAATATTGCCTTAGCAAGGTTTAACTGGTTGTTAATCCAAACATGTGGCAGGACCCAAATTCCTGGGCTCAAAATACCTTCCTGATTCTCAGCAGCATCCGAAGTCCAGAGATCACAATCATCACTGGCAATGAGGCGTGAGTAGCACATGGAAAGAGGGTATTTCCAGAACAACGCTGCCACGGAACCCAAGCCTCCCTTAGGTAGGGGCTCGGCCGGGCCCCTTGAAGTATGAGTTTAGGCTGCATGGGAGAATATTAAGAAAGATGAAAAACACCTTTCAAATTCTCCTTTCCACACAAATCTCTTCCCACACAGCTCTGCTCCCTGGGACGTTTCATCACCTTAAGAAATATATTTAAAACAGACACTAGTACGAGTGTCCTTTGATAAGTAAAGTAAAACACCCGTCTTCTATTTTTTACCAAAAACAACAACAACAAAAATTTTTTAATTACCCCTTTCAAATTCTCTGGGTTTGCCTCTCAGCATCCGTACAACCTCACTGTCATATTTTAAATATTTTATTTTCAAGTTAAAAAAGAAAGAAAAAAACTTTGGAAGGACTTAAGACAGAAAAAAAAAATAGAAAGAAAAATGAGGGGAAAAAAAGAAAGCGAGTTAGGTGGGGTGTGGAGGGAATCTGGTCATTAAGTCAATTCAGCTTCTGTCTCCCAAGTAGGTTTGCAAAGGAGGTGACATAGCGTGGTATCAGAATTCTCTTTCACCCACCTCTCCTCTCTGTGAGCTCCTGCTGGGCCAGGAATTTTCAGGGAGTGAGCGAGGTGTCCAGTGACCAAGCAGTACAAACACATCCCCTGCCTGCCTGCCTGTCCTGCAGGATTTGTTTAAAATACTTTCTCTGTTTCAAGGTGGCAGTTGGCAGTCAGAAGGATCCTAAACGACTCTGGAGCCGAGCCGCTGGAGTGGAAGGAACGTGGGTGTCAGCTTACCTCGTACAGGCCAGCTGCCCACCCCGCAGGCAGCAGGCTCCTGGCCCTGTGCTCTGGTCCCTGCCATGAGCAATCGGCTCAGTCCCAGAAACAGGGTACACCAGGGGACTTGACCTAGAGGACCGCAGCCTTCCATCCCTCTCTAGCCAGCAGGCAGATAAGGAAACTGTCCCAGCACAGCTGATTCTCGTAGATCTCATTCATTTCAGAATTCCAGAGAGAAAGGTTCCCTAATTCTCTCTGGTCGTTCATTCCAGTCTCGCAACCCTATCAACCAAGACCTGCTTCATCTCCCACCCTAATCTCCCCTGATGCAATTCTAGCCTCTTGGTGTTTTTTTTTTTTCTCTCTCTCTCTTCACTAGAAATGAAAAACAGCTGGACCCCATCTTCTGCATAATAACCGTCCATAAACTGGGAGGCCATTATTAAATCAGCCGGGTCCTTGTCTTCCCTAGGTTAAACGACGCCAAAGCCTTAAGCTTCCCCTCATGGTTGCTGGCTTCTAACTCATTATTTTCATGACTTTCTGTGTCACTCAAATTGTCAAAGCCCTGACTAGAAATTTTATGAGGATTTGAGAGAGAGAGAGAGAGACAGAGAAAGAGAGAGAGAGAATGTGTGTGTAGGAGGGAAGTTTAGCTCACAGTTTAAACGGTTAATTTTTAAAACTTTTTTATTGTGAAAGATATCAGAAAGCATTTACGTAACACACATGCACAGTTTAAAACAAAATCAGATGAGAACTCGTGCACCCACCACGAGTTATTTTTTTCCCTCTAAACATTGACTTTGGGTTTGATTTTGCTTTCTTTGAGAGGAGAAACAGTGATTATGTTTTAAATCACATTTACATTTAATTTACATCATTACAATTTAAACCAATGATACTTGTTTTTAAACTCTGACATCCATGTTTATCAGAGTGTCTTTAAAGCCTGACAATATTTAGCTGAGACATCAGAGGTTTTATACAATGGCCTGTTCTAGAAAAGCTGAGCTGAAATAAAAAAGAAAAAAAAGGAAAATCTTTAAGTGGGCAATGTTTTTAATGAACCAAGTTTACTGAATCTCATTCTCTGTAACTGAAATATTCCTATCTGGGTGAGCACGACATTCTCATCAGGAAATGTCAGAGAACAGGCCAGTTAATCGAGCTTCACTCTCATGATGTTCAATGGCACCACTGCCATCATGCACACAAACTGCCCAGAATCCTGTGCGCTTGGGATACAAGTGAATTGGAGATTCAAGGCTCCTGCACAATTAGTATCATATAGTTTCTGCTTCTTATTGCTCAGGAAAATAGCACTTCGTGGAGACGTTTGAGGTTAAGCAACATCCACAAATCACTATCATTTTGCATGTTTGGGGGAATACATGCTCATCAGATATTTCATCAGTGAGCCTGAGCTTTCGTTTATAGTCAACCTGCATCTCTGCTTATGTTGAAGCTAAGAACTTCCTGGCACAATTTTTAGTTTCCTTGGCAAGGAAGAGTTTGTGAGTGCTTGCGCTCTACAGCCTGCTCCTGCTACCTCCTGGCCTGTCCCAGACCTAATGAAAAAGGAGGCCTCGGTTTACCTTCTGAGCTCTTCTTCTTCCAGAGTTCCTGGTCACTAGCTTTTCATGTTGTAGAAAAACATCAGAAGTGAATGAGATGCTCTGCCCGCCCCACATTTATTTCCTCCCAAGGATGCTGAGCTACTTCCTGCTCCTTGTGGGCCTGTTTGTTGGGGTTTGGATTTCCCATTCACCTCTCCCCGCTGATGGTTCCCACTCTCGGTTGCCACCACACCTTCACTTACTCTGTTCTTCCGGGGGCATCTCTCAGGATTTGATCAAGCCTGTGACTTGGCAACAAACTTATTTTTGTTTCTTTCAACATCCCGATCCAAAAAAGGAAAGCAGTTTTGAACACAGCCCTCCCTGGGCTTCCCCGCGACTTCCTACATCCATCCCACCCTTGGCTTGGGGTAAAGTATGTGAAACCATCTCCAGCTTCCTGGGAATTTATGAAGACCATTCATTTCCATTTTCTTCTAATTAACGCCAACACATTATTCTGGTTCTTGTTGCTAGAATTAATAAACATGCAAGTTTTTCTCCTTCTTTGGTAGCAATTTCTGGGCCCTACCTGGAAGTAAGGACATATTATTTTCCATTCTTTGAGCTCTTTGGGACCCTACACGGGGTGGACACCAGCAGGTTCTGTGTAAAGATACAAGGTGGGATGAGCTGGGCTCTTCCTGTCCCAGGAAAGCCATTCCTGGGCACTGAGGCCACCCACCTGACACCATCTCAGAGCTTCAGGTTGGCCTTTAAGCGGGAAAAAGATGTAAAACTAATATAGCAGAACTGATCTCCGCACTACCCTCGGAGACATTAATGTGGTTTCTAGCGAATTGCTCGTAAAATTCATGGCAGCAGCTAATTGCTACCATGTTCTTCCTCATCTACTCCCATATTAAATTTGAAAGAAAGGAAGAAAAGCCCTTTCAAAGCCTTATTAATCCATGCACAGCAGTGGAATGCATGATCTAAAGCAAACCTCTCACGTCACCATGGCTATGTGGGCTGGCTGTCAAATGGTGGGTTTCCTGTCCCCCGTAATACAATGAACAATGCCTCTCCAGCCGCTGGCTCTGCCTGGCCGGGATCCCTTCCAGCATGGAGTGCCGGGTGCACACACGTGTTGGATATTGTGAGCTGAGCCCTGAGGTATAAACCTTTCCGACTCCACCCACATGAACATTCACGAGGAAGTGGTGGCCGGTGGTCACACTGTGGCTGCCACTTACGCTGCCCCCCCCCAGCCCCCACCCCTTCCTATGCATGTCCTCACCTCAGGGAAGTGCTTTGTAAGAACCGTCAACTCCACATGGCTGGCGTGCCTTCTGTAATTCTCTCTGGTAAAAGGATCCTACTGGAACTAATTAGGCCAAGGACCATCTGCTTTGCGCTGCTCCTCTACCACTCTCGGGTCAGCGAGTGAAGGACCACTCCCATTCCAATCGGTCAGGGTGTCTGTTCTGATTGGGTGTGACATTCATTCTAGTGAGGCCTGGAGCCCCTTCTGATAGTTTAAACCAAGTCACACTGGGTGTTACGTACTGTCCAGGTGTTAAACACAATGAATAATGTGTTGTCTGTCAAGGTACCAGTATGTTCACACATATCAGAGTAAGTGGGTAACAAATATCCAAGGCATCCTAGGCCTGAAAGAAGTAGGTCACTATACAATCTCTGCCCAGGAGATGGGATTACCTTTGCACAATCTCTGCAGGTCATTGTCCCTTTTCTCAACCAGCCAGAGGCCTGAGCAGGGAAAGGCCAGCCCATTGCATCTCTCTGGTGAGTGCTTTATCCTTCCTTTCCCCTCAGTCTCATGACCCTTGCTTGACATCCTAGCATCATTCTGTTCCTGACAGCCCTACACAAACCTGGGAATAAACCAGAAACCTGCTCTCAATCAGCGGGCACATTCACAGGTAGTTTAGAATGAGCTGGTGGCTTATGGAAATGAGATGACCATTCTGTGTCCACCAAGCCTCAGCCTCTGACTCTCAGTCACTATCACTCCATAGCCTACTGTTGTCCTGGGGACAGGTTGTCCTGGAGACAGGTTGTCCTGGAGACGGAGGCCCACTCAAACCATGGAGAAGATACCCTCTCTACTCCAGAAGAAGCTCGAGGCATCTTCTCTAATCATTCAGCTTCAGGATGAAGAACTCTGAAAGCAAAGTCTCAAGACAGTTAGACTTCAGACCTGGGCAGGGAAGTGCTGGATGGGAAGAAATTAAATGGGCAGAGCATCACCAATGTTCTCCTTTGGGTTCTTGCATATCTTTATGTCAGGGGGATAATAAGATCAGATTTGGGCCTGGGGGAGTATGGAAAGGCCAAACAGAGAGGCTTGACTATAGTCAATCAGTGATTCAGAAAGCAGCACCTGCTCTGATTCTACCATGATGGGTTAACCTGGGATTTTTTGCAGTCACTGCAGAGGAATTCCAGGGTTCCCATGTTCTAAACTCTTCCAGGTGGAATTTCAAGTTGTCTTTTATCTGGAGGAGAGGAAGTACACTCGGCTTAGGAAACAAGATAGTCTTTTGTTGGGTGCATAAACAAAGAGATGTTAGGATGAGGACATGGACCATGTCCTTTTAGATATCCCCGTGTTGGGCTGGGGATATAGCTCAGTGGCACAGGCACCTGACTGGCAAGCGCAAGGTCCTGAGTTCGACACCTGATACAAAAAAAACAAAACAGATATCCTCATGTCTTAGTGGAATGTGTGTCCAACAGGAATTCAAAAGAAGAGCTGATTTTTAAAGTTTTTTAAATTTTATTTATTTATATTATCCTAGTTCTAGCAATAGGAACTGAACCCAGGTTGTTCTCATTGAGCTACATCCCCAGCCCTTTTAATTACTTTTTTTTTTTAAGTTTTTGAGACAGGACCTGGATAAATGGCATGGGCTGGACTCAAACTTGTGATCTTCCTGCCTCAGCCTCCTAGAGTGCTGAGATTATAATAGACATGTCCCACCACGTCCACTGTCTTGGTTACTTTTCTCTCATTGCTGAGACAAAATACCCAATGCCCAAAATTAAGGAAGGAAAGGTTTATTTAGCTTACAGTTTGTGGAGGTTTCAGTCCATGCTTGGCTGGCTCCAAGGCAGAAGATAGCAAAGCAACAAGAGCAAAGAGGGGAATGGCAGCTGAATAGCAAACAGCCAGAGCAAACTGGAGGAATCGCTGCAAGCAACTTCTTTCCCTGTCTTACTTTGTAAACAGGCTACCCCCACCTAAGGGGCATGTAGCTCTCACATAATCTCCATGCCCTCCTCTTCTACAGGCTCAGGATGTACACAAAGTAAGCACCCTGGCTTCCTGTTGAGTCACTTAGCCAAAACTCTAGACTCCGCAAGTTGACACAATGTATCAACCATAACATCCACCTATAGACTGAATATTTTAGAAAGGGAGGCTGAGTGATAAAAGTGAAGGAGATAAACAGCAATGCACAAACCTGCCATTGAAAGCTGCCTGGTGAGTTCATGATTCAGAGGACAAGGATCAGAGGAAGGACACGGGGAGGTCAGGTATGGGGATGGTGGGACACTCAGACCACAGCATCTGGCAAATTCAAGGCCCTGAAGAAACAGAGCCTGGCCTCGAAGCTCAGGGAGGAAACTCATCTCCAGCAGCCTGGGGAGCTCTTGAAAAGGAGGAGGGCGACAGTGATTTCTGTCATGAAAATTATCAGTTAATCCCAAGCAAAAGAAAAGAAAGAGAGAGATGCCTAATGTGGGCTGAATAGTGCAATTGAGCTCTTAACATTTATTTGTAGCCCATACTACTGATTCCTGTACCCCATTTTATAGTGGGGAACCTGATGTAACTTGAAAGAGCATTAACAGTGGTTTTGACTTGAAGTGCTTTGAGGAACTTTATCATCCACCAGAAACCAAAGAATCAGAATAGACAGATGCTAGGGTGACTCAATTCTATGACCTATGTGTACATTTCAACAAAGACAAATACAGATCTCAAGAAATACCCTCAAAAGGAAGGAAGGAAGGAAGATAGAAGGAAGGAAGGAAGATAGAAGGAAGGAAGGAAGGAAGGAAGGAAGGAAGGAAGGAAGGAAGAAAGGAAGGAAAGAAAGAAAGAAAGAAAGAAAGAAAGAAAGAAAGAAAGAAAAAAAGAAAGAAAGAAGAGAAAGAGAGAGAAAAAACAGAAAAGAAAAAGAAAAAGAAAAGGCCCTCTCTTGCATCAACACAATGGTCTTCTGATTTCAGCCTCTTCCCCAAACTAGGGAAGTAGGTAGGAGCAAGAGGTAGGTAGGGAAGTAGGTAGGACCAGAAGTAGGAGCAAGAGGCACAAGGAACAGGCTTGGCCAAAGGCCAGTGTAGATGTGGTGATACCAGGGTCACCTGTCAGTGCCTGGTATCCGGTTAAGCATTGCCATGAGCACTAGAAGGCTT